AAAAAGAAAAACTAGAAAATTAACAAGGTTATTTATTATACAATACAATAATTTGAAGAAATGTAAGTCTTTCATAAACGGCCTATAATCAAAATATTCAAAAAAGGGAGTTTAGGAATGACAATATTTTGTTAAAGTAGCAAACCATTTGATCCTGATTAGCCTTAATGTTGAGAATAACTCAAAATTAAATGTACTAAATCTGTGATTTGGTATAATAACGTTATCAGCAGTCGCCTTTAGAGATGAATCGGCTTTACGAAATCAACATCAAAAATTTACTTATTAACTGAATTTATGTAAACATCTCATCAACAAATAAAAGTATTTAATAGTTTTACCTATCATACAATTATAACAGATAGTCACACACACACACACATACAAGTTAATATTTAAAAGTGATTGATTGATATTTCCCGTTTAGATGCTTCAATTTGTAGTAAAGAAAATACTCTATTTAGATTTCATACATAATTCTGAAATATTTTAAAGAAATGGAAACAACAATATAATGTTAAGTATTTCTAGTGCAATTACCTACACTTTAATCTGCTGTATGCATCTGATTTGTTTAAGCTCTTCAATTAATTATATTAATCACTTCGACCAATAACGATTTATGTGTGTTTGTATTATTACGATTATTGTTACTATTATTATTATTATTATATTTGAGCTTGTAGGCTTGATCACGTGTTGCGGCTTAAACTTCAATCTCTCATATTAGATTAAATATCCATTGTATAAATCACTCAATGACTTGTTCACTTCTCTATAGCAGTCTTAAGCCAAAAACAACTTGATGTTTTCATTTTTAAGATTAGTCAGTAGTTTTTGTTATGATAAACAATAGTTAATTCCTCAGCAATCTTCAAAATGAAAAGACTACTTACTAAATGTTAGATTTCAAATTTAAATGAACCTCATGATCATTATGAAACCCTCTAGCACAAGCACTATGGTGTACCATGATAAAATGCACTCATTCATCAAATGACTTACATCTGAAATGATAAAATAAAATTTTCCATCATAATTAAACATAAAAAATGTTTTTTTAAGTTCAGACAATGAAATTGTTAGACAGAATCAGATACGTCACTATTAAATAATAACTTCGTATGTTCTAACAGGTTATTTTGTTTTTTATTGATGTTACATTCATTTTTTTTCTGTTTTTCGCCTGTTACCCCCAATAGAGCATAAGCCGCCCACCAGTTTTCTCCAACCAACTCTGTCCTGGGTTTTCCTTTACAGTTCCGTACAATTTTTGTTCATTCTTCTCATATCTTTCGCTATTTCTCAGCGTTATGTGTTCCTTGGCCTTCCCCTTTTCCTTTTGCCTTGAGGGTTTCAAGTGAGGGATTGTCTTGTGACACAGTTAGGTACTTTTCGTAGTGTGTGTTCTATCCACTTCCACCGCTTCCTCCTGACTTGCTCCTTCACTGTAATCTGGTTTGTTCTCTCCCACAGTAGATTGTTGCCGATGGTGTCTGGCAAACGAATCCGAAGTACTCTGCATAGAAAACTGTTCATAAATACTTGTATCTTCTGGATGATGGCTTTGGTAGTTCTCCAAGTTTTTGCCTCATACAGTAGGACGGTCTTGATAGCTGCATTGAAAATTGTGACTTTGCTGTTGATTGATATTTGTCTGAAGTCCCAGATGTTTTCCAGTTATTATATTCATGGCGATATCTAAAGAAAGGATAATGAATATCATAATTATATAAGGCTGAGGAATCTTTGTAATATTTTAAGAAATCAAAATGTTTCACGATATTTTACAAACCAATATCAATAATATTACAACAGTTCTAAATATCTCTATGACTCTTTAATAAATCACTAAGTAATTAAGTCGACAGATAGTATGTAACACAGCGTTATATTTATTTATCTGAAAGATTACCTGAATGAATACATTCTACTGCAATAATCCGACAGAAAATCAGTATACTAGTTCATAAATTACTTTTATACATGAAATGATGTATTGTTAAAATGTCTTGCGTTTAAACTGTAATCAGTAATTTACACATGATTTTGTCCTTCCTAGTCAAAAAGAAAAACTTTACTATCATCCAATTATAAATAAATACCATAATTATTATTTGCATGTCGTCTATGCTTTGCGTATTAAAGATTTTAATTACTGTGTTGTTTTTGTTCAAGAAGTATATCATGCAAAAATCGACTGAAAAAAAAACATTTCTTGCACAGCGTGATATTTATTTTCATGATAGATTCTAAGTCAAAAAAACCTGGAAAGTGCAATAATTTAAACAACTTGACATTGAAAAAAATGTTGTTGAATTTATCTACATTATATCATATTCAATAAGACATGACCATAAAAAATTTTAATTCAGTTAAATTATGGAAAACAACCTAGGTAAAACAACACTAATTCAAAAATTTCATTGAAAGCACGAAAACCTTGCCCTGGGAATTTTAGGGTCTTTATTTGGAAATGTTTCGCCTTTTCATGGTGAAAACTAAAATTCTTCGGAAGTCACGACGCCGATGCTTCTTCTCACATCAAGTGCATTGTGGAATGTTTGTACTTTGTAGTAAATCGAGAGAGTCATTCAAAACTGCTTCAGAAATAAAAAGATACAACCCGATGGTACTTGTAATGGGTGGAACACATTGGACAAAGGCTGGACAAAAAAGATTAACTTCAGGGGAGATGCTTTTGTACTCTAGCCACGAAAAAAGTACTTTACACAAGGTGTCACACTGATGCTATTCAAAGAAGCCAAATACCCACTTTTAAAATAGGGATTGCACGAACCTAAGATCATCACATCATTATTGAGAACAAAGAACTAGTGGATCACAATGAACCTCATCCAGTGCTATAAGACTACCAGTGATAACAACTGAAATTAAAGAAATACTAAGCAGCTGGGCAAACAGCGTCACAAATGTTTAGAACGGCTTTTATTCCGGATACTAATAAACTCGAAGAACTCAAAATGGATTTCATCAATAGGTTCCAGACTTTTTACGATCTACTCAACGAGCGAGCTTCCGAGGCGAACAACTGAAAAGGGACCAAAGAGGCAATAACTTAAGTAGGTCATGATGTTTTGGGCCTCAAGAAGTTAATTCATGAGGTATAAATCATTTTGATACACTGGGTGCGATTCAAGAAAGGAAGATGATGGCAACCAACGATAGTCTCACAAGGGAAAAGAAGATTTAGGCACGAGCTGAATACATATAGGCAAAGAAGCAACTGAAGAAGAGCGATAAAGTTGATAAAAGTTAACATGTGGAAGATCTAGCAGTCATAGCAGTAAAAGCTGCAAGAGGAGGAAATGTGAGACAATAAACGATACAACTGAGAAACTTGCTGGAAAATATCACAAAACAGAACGACCAGTGTTGAAGAAGGAAGGAAAAGCAATCACCGACTTCGACTAACATAACTAAACCCAGAAAACATGAAGCAGCTCAAACAGACCCCCTTATTAATTATGCCCTTTAAACAATTGAAGAGATCCGTATACCCACTGGACAAATTAAGAACGGGAAAGTAGCGGAACAATTAACATACCATCTGAGGCATTGAAAGTTAATGCAGCGGTTACTTAAAGATGTTCCATGCTCAGTTCAGCAGGATTTCGGAGGAAAAAAAAGAACAAACAGAGGAAAAAGAAAGACACTTCATTATTTAAGAAAACAGAACTCAGGAAGTGTGAGAACTACATACGTAACACCTACTATCGATACGAGGAAAAGTCTTCAACTGAGGGTTGGTGAACCAAATGAGAGATTAAGTAGACGCCTAACTTCGAGGTCAACAGGTTGGATTTTATAACAACTGATCATGTACTGACTGAATTCCTACACTGTGGATGATTAGGGAACACTCATTTTAATTAAACTCACCACTATTCATCAACTTCCTTTGGGAAAGCATTTGATAGAGTTGACAGGCGAACATTATGGAGCCTTTTTCAGTAGTATGATCTACCTGTGAAAGTAGTCAGCGTCATACGGGATTCTTACGACTGATCAGATTGTAAAATCCTGTTGTTTCATTAAAAATTAAGAACGGTATCAGACAAGACTGCTTACGCTCACTCTTTCCCATTTTTATGGAGGTTGACTGGATTATGAACATATTGTAATCTTAAGGAAAGCACATAATACAGTGGACAGCTCGCGTGTAGCTGGACGATCTGAACTTTACAGATCACCTAGCTCTTCTATCCCACTCACCAAGCAGATGACACTTGATACAGAAGGTTTCAAAGCAGTAGAGACCTTCACGTAAATGTCCAACACCAAAGTCACAGTATTTACGTTAACACTGATTAGTGTAAGATCAATTCTACGTGAACCCATCGATTTTAGTCAAATATCAAAAACATCAACTATTTATTACAAAGTATAGTTACATGACTTTTTTCTAACTGCCTTGAAAGTTTAACACTCACTAAATTTTTCCTGTAAATTCTATAAATCTAATAACTCTTTATGATTGCCTCGATAAAAATTCATCAATAAACAAACGTGTCAATTTAGATCGTTATGATAAAAAAAAGTTTCCGTTTCGTGCAAGTGTTTCAATCACTTCAATAACCTGTGGAAATTATGAAATGGCGATGGAAAAAATATTTTAGAACAGAAAAATCATTGAATCTTAAGCATTCTTTGTGAATAAAAAAAAAATAAAACAAGAGTCATGCTTTAAACTCATGAAACTTTGTTATTATTTGCTACAATTTAGGTCTTTTGTCTATAAACAAAATTTAATAAAACAATTCATTATAACACTGTACATAAGAAGTATTAGACGTTGAATATGATTGAGCATGATGAGTAGCGACTAATTGAAGTCACTGTCGGTTATCGTGTACACAAACGCATGGAACACATTATAAAAATTTACCAATGATTATTAGTTTTGATTAATGTATTTTTAAAAGAAAGATCAATAATAATGCATTTCACATGTTCCGTGTATTTATTTTTTATAATAGATAAACTTAAAAAAAAGCAATGCCAGAACAGCCAACAGATTATCGTGTAGCCGTATATGGTTCAGGAGGAGTTGGTAAAACATCACTTGTACTTCGATTTGTACGTGGAACATTCCGTGAGACATATATTCCAACAATAGAAGATACATACAGACAGGTAAATTAATCTCAAGTTGTTTGATATAGTTTTTCGGTTGTTAACTAAGTATCAAATATTTCAGTTATTTAAAGTAATTAGTCCCGTTTAGTAAATTTTTATGGAATAATGAGAAGACAAAATTGATCTGGGAAATGTGATGTACTATACCTTTCGAAACATCTGGAATTCAGAGTAACACTATTGCTGCAACTACCCTTATTATGTACTGAAAAATTCCTATTCACATTTAAAGGTGGACATTTTGAACAAGTTGATGGCGCTGCTATTGGTAGTTCTTTGAGACCTCTCTTAGTCGACATATGTATGTCATGTGTTAAAATATGATAAGTGAGCTCATCCGTAAAGTAACTATGTGAAGGGAGTACATGGCTGATGATTAGTTATATGTAATAAAGGTTTTTATGTTGTTCAGTTACCGGAGAAGCTCAACAGTGTGTACAGGGATATCATGATGACCTATGAAGAAGAAAGTAATGACCAACTATCCATTTTAGATTTACTTTCGAGACTAATGGAGGATGGAGCTATTTAATTTGTAAGAAGTCTACCTAGGCTGCTCATTACTTAAATTACCACAGTTTCTGTCCTTCGCAACAAACGCCTCTTTAATGGGACTTAAAGAGTGAGCTTTACAGGCACGATTATATCTCTCTACCATTTAGAGCCGAATGAAACAGAATGATTTTAAGCAAGACTAAAAGCAGCCATCGAGAAAACATATTTTGTTGCTCAGCTAGTTGTAATTAACAGGACTAAGTTAATGATTTTACATTGTCCTAGACATTGCAATAATGATTACGTCTTATCAAACTGTATTTATCAATTTACCTGTTTGTGTGGACACGTAAACATAAGAAAGAGTAATCAGACGATTCAATGAAGGGTTTTGCAGTGTGTCTAGATAGCTTTAAAACCAGCGAGTATCAAATGATTCGATCGACATCGGAAATAGGAAAGCATGTTCACCAACAGCAAAGCGCGTAAATTAAACGGGAACAGCCTCTTACTACTTACCGTACCAGCATCTCCAAAAAGCATCAGTGTAAATGACATATTAAATAAAATACTGACACCGTTTTGAGTTCAATCAAGTCATACAAAATAGGCTGATGACATATACTGCATTTGCTATTATGTATTGTAAGATAAATAATTAGGGTGAAATCAATAATATTTCATAATATAAAGATATTTACGTAAGACACACCAACAAATTTTAAGGAAATATAATTTGTGGTACAAGTGGCTTATGCATATGACCTAGGTTGGTTCCGGTATCCATTAAATTCATTTGAGTTCTATTTCAAACGTTTTAGAAATGTAATTGTATACTAGTTTCTTTTCTGATTAAAACACCAAGGAAAGATAAACTTTATGACACAATTTCGTTAGCATTTTAATTTCCGGTTTATAAAATTCAATTTAAATCAAACATGACAAGGAATTCTTTCAGCAATTTGAGTTTTTTTTTATTCGTTTCCTGAATTTCAGTTAAAAATCTAAAATCTTAGTGAAAAATCCTAATTCTTTTGCGATTTTCTTCAATTCTTGAAGAATATTTCATTCACTGATATTGCACTCATAATATTTTTATAAAAAATTAATCTTAAGCTTGTTCAAATGACATTTAGAAACGATAAATGATACTATTACATAGAGTCATTCGCTAGTACTGGATTTATGGTACTTTTCACACTGTCTGCATCGATCAAACACAGCTCATGAATGCATATCCTTGTTATTGTTTTTACAAATAAAAGTTCATAAAATGTTGAGATTTTCAAGGTTCACCTTTAATTCGGAATAGACTTTGACAACACCGAAATAGTACATTTAAACATTATTTAAATGAAGGACGTATAGCTTTACAATTTTACCGTGAGAAATCTGAGTTCACATAAATTAATTATTCAGAATAATGTAATTGGGAATCTTATGGTTAATTTCCACCCTTAACATTAACATATACAGAATGATTACTTCACGACGCTTTCAACAATAATATTACCTAAAATGAGGAATATTTCCTGGAGAAAACATTCGGAAATGTATTGTTTTATAGTGACATTGTCTACAGTAATATTTTTGGATTGTGAAAACTATGACTCGTTGGCAGACGTACTCCGTTATTTTCAAAAGAGATTAAAAACAAAATAAAAATAACTAAATTAACATTATCAAGATTGTGGAATCTCATAAGTAACATCATGAAATGATTTTATACAACCATGGCAAACGAAAGAACGTTGGACAAATGCTTAGTTTCCGTATGAAGGTCACTGATACTCATTGTTGAATATCTGCATACAAGGATGAAAAAACGATCTAGCGCCTTCTGCTTTCTGATCGTTGTCTAACTCAGATCAGTCTATGATGTAACCTTTCATAACAGGTATATTTTAAGCATTAGAACGTCATTAACCGGTTCCTTATTTCACATTGAATAATCTACACAGCTGTTCCATTTTAATAAAATGCTTATTAAAGTGATTTTTATGAAGGAAAAATAAGACTGTAATTTTTTCTTCAAATGACCTGAATGCATATTTCCTCAAAAATATCTACACTGAAAATAAGTAAACTTATCAATCACTTGACTTGTATCAATCAAGCCAACAAACATTTATCTGTAATTCAATAAGCTAAAATTCAACAAAAATGGAATTTAAACTTGTTTTCAAAATAAATGCATCTCCAACTGTTTATACCTAAATAAATGTTGTTGATGATACTTAAAAAACTCGTAATATACTACTGGCATTTAGTATTCTTGAGAAAAAGAAAACCGAGTTAAAAGTCGCATGCCCTAAAACAATATTATAAAGATCGAAAAAATTCTCATAACTATCATTTAATTAGGACTGGTTTTTAAAACACTTCAGAAAGAAAAAATATTTAATTAGGTCAGAAATTAAATTTTGAATAAATTTATGTAACCATTTTTATTCAGTTTCTCACAACTTGTTGATCAAAATGACTTTTCTATTAGATAAAAAAAAAGGTCGACAGTAAAATTTAAAAGTGCATCATTATTTAAAACAAAGAAAAAAAATAAAAAATATCAACCAGGAATAAAAGAATATAAACTTTTCATCATATCCGGTGAAACATCTTATCATAGTGTCATCATTAAGTGAAATAAATTCAAATTGTGTTATTCATTAAGATCATAAATAAACAGGAGAATAGAAAAAAGTAGGTTCAGTTATTTGAAATACAATCAACAGACATTATTCGAAGTTTCCCTGCCTTTTTGTTTGAAATAAACTATTGGACTATAGATAGTAATTGAATCCAAGAGCCGTGTTATGGGATTGGTCACTTTGGTAGGCTCTTGAGTCCAGATAAACATTGGCTTATGCGACAAGTATGTATTTTATTTGTACGGATTCAGATCGTCTCATTACTGTCTTTATCAATTGACTGACTCGACACATTCCTACACACTAACACCAACAAGAGCAAACTCCCCTCAGATGAAATGTTAGCTTGACTTTTTCAAAAAAAATTTCCCTGCCTCTAATTTTTAGTTGTACTAAAAATAAAAATGAATAAGGATGGGATGCAAGAAAAAGAATTTCACAAATCATATTTCCTTACCAGTAGTATGTGACTCCTAATCCTACCGTAGTAATACAAAATCGACTACACCACAGAAAAAAAGTACTAACTTGTCTTGCATTGATATAAATTAATTGGACTGATAATGCCGTAGCATTTGTAATGGAGTATGCTTTGCTAAACCTGATACCGCCTGCTCATTAGAAACCAATACTTCAGTTTCACTGAACGATCATGACTTGTGAGTTTAAGTAAAGAATAAGATAACAATTCAATGATTTCAACACATTTGAAATCACCAATCAATCATTGTCAGACAACCATTAGAAACCTGGAAGCACTGAATGGCCGTTTCGTCCTGGTATGGGACTCATCAGAAGTGCGAATCCACGACTCCTACACCTCACAGGATTCGAACCATGGACCTTCGGTATGGTGCGCGAACGCCTAGCCATTGGACCACTGGGCTGGCATCCAACTGTATTAATGTGTAACTCTGATTGATCTAGGGATTTTGCGCGACCTCACCCATTTGTCATCGGTAGTTACTGCTTACACCCGACAGGGCTGAACTCCATAGATCACATCTTCTCACTAGGACTCCAAGAATTCCCTCATGAACCTAGTCACTAGTGAGCACATGTTACAATCATCAGGCAATCATTGTTAGACCACCGTTAGAAACCTGCAGGAGTCGTGGATGCGCACTGCACTGACGAGTCCCATACCAGAACGAAACGGCCGTCAACTGCTTCCAGGTTTCCAATAGTGGTCTAACAATGATTTATTGATGATTTCAAATGTGTCGAAACACAAATCTCCAAAACTCTAACTGAAAATTCAGTGATTACCGTGAATGAGACTTCCTGTGTATTATTATTCGTTAAACTGTAATATAATTCACTTTTATTTTTACTAAGAAAGCTTATGTTTTTGGGTACATTCCGATGTTTTATAGTGTTAGGACATTGTTCTAACATTACACACAGTACCTCAGGATACTTTACTTGTGCTATAAAGTTGTTTTTTTTTTCAAAAATGATTTCTGGTAAACATTCACTTGATAACATTATTTTGTCAAATTATTGTTTTGTTTACCATTGTAGTTTTAATCAACATTGTTTGAAAAAATAAACAATAAAACTGGTTGTCTAAGTAATAAATGAGAAACGAAAATAAACTAGAAAGCAAATAAAAGATGAAATAAGTCTAGTTTTTTTCAAAAAAATATTTGAAAACAATCCAATATGACCCAAAGTGAAATATCATTTTCAAAACATTTTCATTTAACTCGAAAACAGTTTTAGATTTTAAATTCAGTTTTTCTTAGAAAAAAGTGCACTACACTACAAAATAGATAGAAAACACTTTATTTTTTGTATTCAATGAAATCAGATTAATCTAACAAGTTATTTCTTTTCAACGGAAGTCATCAT